CCCCCTTCAGTATCTCAGCATCAGCTTGCCCCTGCAGAAGGGGTTTCTGTACCCGAGGAACCACAGGAGGGAAGCAGATTGCGTAGCCGGGTCACGGGAGAGCTGCCGTTATCTCTGTACCTCGCTCAAGCAAGACATGCTGTCCTCGGTATTGCGTGGCATGTGGGGACAAAACGGGACCTTAGACCAACGCCGGTCGGGGTGCGCCTGGCTCTGCGGGTGCAGCGTGGTGGGGCCTCCTTGGAGGCTGCGGCGGGGGTAAGGAGCAAAGTGCCTGGCAATGTTGATAGACTCAAGGCCGTTTCCCTTCCTGCGGGGCTGGCGGCAGATAAGGGTGCTGTGGATGGCTTTGGCCCATCCCTGAAACAAAAAGCTGCTCTGCCTTGGGAAATCATTGCCAGGTTGATCTCCGCTGGGCAGGCGCAGCCTGGCATGTGCCCCACTTCCAGGAGCGGGGTTCATCCAGTCCCCTTGCTGCCAGCCCACACTCTGGTGATGGGATGGAGAGAAATGTAATTCTTCTGATTTACAAGTTTTATCATCCCTAGGGAAAATTCCCAAACTTCCCAGTTAGTAACCAAGAAAATATAAATATTTTCTTGAAAACTTTCTTTTATCTTTATTTATACTTACTCTCAGTGACAATAAATGATTAATAATATGATGGACCGCTGCATGAGGATGAAAAGGGTTTTTACAACCCACCACCAAATAATCCATGTAAGCAGAAATAAAAATATGGTCAAATTGCTTCCTATAATACTGAACAAGTAATGTAGATAATAAAGACAAGAGAAATGGGTTAAGGCCAATACCCAGAGGAGTCTTCCTGAAGCCCATGGTTTTGGGGTACAACAACAATGTGAGTTGATCCCATTTGTAGTTTTGTAACAGCAGCAAGGTTTGGTGTTTGTACAACTCTGTGTTTTCTTGCTGATTTGAGATGCGCTTCTCTGGACAATCCCCACCTAGTAGAGGGCGACGTACAGGTGTATAACCCTTGTAATCCAGCTACCCAAACAGTAACAAAGTGACTGGCATTAGAGTTAAAAGGAACATGATTAAAAGCTGCAGACATCCATCAATGCCAGGAGAATCCTTGGAGCAATAACTGGGACAATGCCCCAAGGTCTGGGCAAGTGAAGTTAGGCCAGGACTCTTTAGGAGGGTTCCTTGAAAACTGAGAGTTCCAAGTCTACCACCGTTCTACCTTCTGCAGTATTTCTAGGATTTTTGTCCACAGGAATGCAGCCCCTGATAACTCTGTTAATAATATGACCAGCCATGGGGACACTCCTGATTTTGCTACGATGTCTGGTCTGTATGTGCTGGTCCTCCCTCCTGTTGTGATACTGCTAAGGATGTCCCTGTGGGATGCTGTTCCAGAAGCTGGTAAGGATAAACCACTCCTGGATGGCACAACAGGCCTTACAAATTTGGTTTGTGACTGGAAACTCCTTGGGGTTGTCTGTTTTACCTTTACCTATGCCACATTTGCTCTGTTGATCGCTGCTTATAATTCTTCCTTGTTTCTTACATCACCCATTTCTTGCATCTCCCATTTCTTGCTTCAGTTTCTGGAATGCTAACACATCCAGCACCCGTAAAAAATCTTGAGACCCCAACCCCACTCCTTGTGCCACAGCATCCTAGTGGGTTTGCATTAGCATGTCGACCCCATTCCTGGGCAATTCCCTACAGAAGGGAGTGGTTGTCCTGGAGATGCGTGAGGTTGAGGTGGTGTTGGAGAAGGTTCCTCCTCCTTTAGTCTGTTAAGGACCTTTGATGCTTCTCTTATCAGGTGGGTCCTTGTCCCAGTCAAGTCCAAGATTTATCAGGTACCCATGGTCCCTGAGATATCATCTTCTGTCTTGTTCCCATTCTTGAGATGGGATCTTGGGGATAGTTCCTTGGTATCTTTGTTAATATTGATAACAATTTTTTGCTGTTTGAAATTGAGGGTCTAATAGCCCTATTATGCCTTCCATCCGTAGGTGGGAAGCTACACTCCAAAGTGTAGAGTTTTCCCCAGCATTCCTGGGACTTATAACTGCCTTTTCTACAAACAATACAACACTCTAAATGATTTTATAGGTAGTCAGCACACGTGACCAGATGAAGTAATGATGCCTCAGATTTATTTTTGATGGCACAAAATAATGGCAAATAAGTTGCACTTGCTACATATAAGTGTGCAGGTAGCAGTAGGGACCACCTGCTATCTGGTGTGGCTAGTTTATGATTTTCTTCTAGATGACACAAAGGAAATTGAGGAATTTTCTAGTCCTCATTAAATTTTGATTCAAGGTTTTGATATAGTCCTCCAAAGTCCTTAAGGATGTGTAAGGTGGGGTGATCACTGTTGGGGAGATTGAGATCCTCTGCACAGACTCTGAACAACTGCTACTGCTAGGGAGATCTAGATGGAGTTCTTGATCTTCCCCGTGATCTGTGAAATGCTCAGGAAGGGATGGAGGAATGGATGCATTTGGTGGTCTACATGCAGCAGGAGTTCTTATGCAGGTTCCATAGGATATTATAAATTCAGTAACACAACTGTCCCCAAACTATAAGCAAGATAAATGGAAAAAAAATTGTCTTCTGATCCTAATACCTAAATTTGAACCTGAATATCGAATAAGTGCAGCAGCTACACTTTCATCAGGTATTAACCCTAGTATTTACTGCCCAATGTTCTTATATTCATAATAACATGCGAGAGTATTCCTCAGGGCTGTATGATGAGGAATGTGATGTTGATCACCATCTAGTTGCTTTCCAAGACAGGCTTCAGTTGTTGGTACCAGCCTCTCCAAAGATGGAGAGATGGTGCTACAGAGCCAGTCCCACACATGCCTTTGCACAGCGCAACCCTCCTGCCTGTGCCCCTAGTGCCCCAGGACCGCCTCTGTCAGCATCAATCTTTTGTTGTGTGGTGGGTTTCAATTTCCATGCATGGCTTGGTGGAGACATCACCCATCTCTCTGGCATTACTTAGGAGCCCACCATGTCCTTGGTATCAGCTTCAGCAGCAGCACAGCTTCCATAGGAAGCAGAGCCAGGCAGGGAAGATGCTTCTGGCAAGGCCTGAGCTGTTTCCCCTCATTTGCTTTTCCAAGGGCTCAACAATTCTGTCTGTCCTGTACCCCTGCTGCAAGAGTTGAAGTCTCCCTTGTTCAGCACGAGCGGCCCCTCGGGAGGACCTGGACATTGGTCCAAAGTCTCACATCGATAGAAACCGTTTGCATTTGTTGTGTGTTTATGCAGCTGGAAGCCGGCCGTTGTTAACACCTGGCTGATCCCTATCCCACATTGCTTTCCCCGCGTTTATTAAGGTCTTGTGCTGCTCAGGGCAATGTTTTCTCACCACCGGAGGATGTTTTATGGCAACTCTGTAGACCTGGTGCCCTTGGGGAAGGTGTTCCCCAAGCAGTGTTTTGGAGCTGTCACCCTTCGCCCGGCTCTCAGGGATGCTCAGCCCCTGCAGCTGATGCTTTTTGGACCCTGGCTTGGATGAGGCATGGGGGGATGCCAGCTGTGAGACACCAAAACTCACCAGCCATGGCTCCTGGCATCATCTGAATGATCATGGGCCTTGATCATGTGTGTGGTTGGTGTAAATTCCTTTTAGCCACCCTGCACTCGCCAGGGTGGCAGCAGCCCCATGGGAATAGGCTTTCCCTTTCCCTGGCAGGAGGCCAGCTCCCTTCCCTTTAGCTGGGGGGGGGGCATAGAGTAGCCTTAGTCCACCCCCCACCCCCTCCATTTTCTGTGGCCCTCGAGTCCCTGGAAGGTCCTGGGGATGTCCCAGGACAGGGTGATAGTAGTGGCCTCCCTGCAAGGGCGAAGCCTATGTGGGATCCTGCCCAGGAGGCACCAGAAGGTGGGGAAGGGAGTTCTCAGGGCTGATTTGGGGTGGATGAGCACGGAGGGGGAGGCCGGGCTCTTACTTAGCCTGACATGGCTCCTCAGGAAGGTGCTGAGCACAATTGGGTTGGGGCTGGATGCATCTGAAGGAGAAATGGCTTTGTTCTTTTTTTTTTTTTTTTTCCTCCTGGAAAGGTGGTTTTTATTCCCTTGTTTCTCTGGCTTTTTACACTTCTTTTTTGTCCCCATTCTCAAAAAAGAAACCCAAACATAGTTGCTTGGTTTCTCCATAGGAGCTGTGCTAGAAAGCACTGTGCCCTCATATCTGTTTCTTTTAAACTTTTCCTTTGTTGTTGGGGTTTTTTTCCTCCTCGGGGTTTATCCTTTTTTTCCCTTAATTTTATTTTTGATCCTTCTCTTTTTAGTCCCCCGGGAATGAGAAGTGCGAGCAAGCAGAAATCTCCTTGTCTAAAAATCTGCTTTCGTGCAAAATCCAACCATTCATTAGAAAACGGCATTTTCTCCTTCAAAAAAAGCCACTTATTAAAAAAACTAAAATAAACCCCTTGTTTCAGAGCAGGGGACTCAATCTGAGAGAAAGTTTCCCTGACGTGGGTTGTTCCGGCCCTTCCCCAGGCTCGCAGGTTGGCCCCAGCCCCAGCCGGGGGTCCGGGATTGGGGTGGCACTGGTGGGACCGAGTCCCCCGGTCCCGGTGAGAGCCGCGGTACCGTGCCGTGCGCCGTGGCAGACGGCGAGGCTCCCGGACACCCACTTGCTCCCAACAGCCTTTTATGTGCTGGTGGCCCGGTGGAGGTGCCGGTGGGGCTGTCGGCGGGAGCCTGATTGGCTCGGCACGGCCTCGCCGCCGCTTCCAGGTTGGCGTTCCTCCTCCCGCAGCCCAGGTAAAGCTTCCCGCGACCCGGCACCTGGCCTCCCAGGATTAGCAACTCGCTCCAGCTCGTCTCTGCCTTCAGGTTTTTTTTTTTACACTTTTCCCCTCCCCTTCCT